GGTCAAGCAAGTATATAGTCCCACTTAACGGTGCCAAACACTTTCTTGAGAGCTCTGACAGTGTCAAATGCTGCATGTGCTAGATCCGGTATTCAAATGGAGGTCCAGTCAAAACGGATTGAAGGGTCCCAAACCTAGAACACCATCCCCACCCAGGCCACATCTTTGCCGATAGTTCATCTCTCTCCCATCTCCTCCGGCGGCAGCGCTACAGCATACATCAGTCTCCGCCTCCTAACCTTCCACCAAGGTCCTCCGTTCAGTTTCCCCCAAATCTCCACTCCCTCAACCCTAGCTGCCACCAAGTTTCTCTCCCACGCAGCTGCCTCGGTCCCCCTCCTCTTCCCCTTCAAGCGGCCTCGTCGGCGGTGGCAAGAGAAGTGGGACCCGTCAATCCGTTCCCTTCCCCGTTTCTTCTTAGGTTTTGTTTTCCCAGTAACATCGCGATGTGGTGTGTTTGAATAAGGTCTTTCGTCTCTCCCCACATCGATGACATTTGATCCAACGTCGGCGAACGACATGTGAGAGTCCGTGTTCCCAGGTCCACTGGCTCTCTTCTAATCTTGGCAGTTAATGTGTCCTTCAAGGAGAGCGATTGGTTGTGCATTTGTGTGATGACTTTTCGACATCTTCTTCTATGTTGTTCCATGGCATTATTTGTTTTCTTCAATATTCTAGAGCGGTGATATTGGATTGCAAGCATGTACTGTGTCAGTGATGCTACAAACGATGCTTCTTCAGTGGTTGCTAGATATCGTCTATAGGGATGAGTGGCTATTGCTGTCCTTAAAACATGGTGTGGCCAAGGCGTTTGCAAGTGTCCCTTCCTATTACTATTTGTTCAATACAATTTTCAATCTTCAACAACGGGTGTGCAATCAGAGAAAAAAGAAAACTAGTATATTTTGCAGAACTTTGCTTCGGTACAACGAGAAAATTGCTTTTGGAGGCCGAGCTCCATGGAGGCCTCCAAATGCAAAATTCGAAATTCATGAAAATACATATTTTTACATTTCAAAAAATCTTCAAAAAATACAGATATACATGAAGGCATAATGCACAAGTGTGTAAACTTTCAGGACCAAATACGTTCAAATGACCGGTTGTGGCAAAAAACAACAAATTTGAGGCTTTTTAACGCAGGATACTATTCGTCCTCCCGGACCATTAATTTGTCTTTTTGTACAGGTTGCATTTCAATCGTATTTCATCCTGAAATTTTTACACCTATACACGTCACATCCTTGTTTACTTGTACAATTGTTTTTTCAGATTCTTTTGATACCTAAAATTTTCAGTTTTGGATATTTCAAACATTCGGCCTCCATGGAGGCCGAGATTCAAAACGCCGTACTCGACCCCTATAAAAGTTTACATATTTCAATGTAGATTAAAGATGAAGATTAGAAGGTACGTCTTCAATAAAAAAGGATAATATCGTCTTTTGTATGATGATAGCCTTTTTAAGTGACATTAAGATCGACACAAACTTCTAAGGGGGTGTACGGAAGCAAAACTCTGTTCTTCAATGTATTTTTATTTTGTACTGATTGATCCGTGCCAAATTATTCTTTCATTATACTGGCTATAATGTTTCTTGATAAATATCATATGTAAGATGCCCATTAGGTCTCCTAAAAGAATCTCCACTCTCTTCTCCTAATCGATTGACGGACGGGCTTAGTATAATCTGATCAAATTGATTACTAAAAGGGAAAGAGAGAAGGGAGGCTCCTGCCATTCTGATCGGCCACAAAATAAATTGTATCCTTGTTTGACCGGCCGCTCCTGATCCGGGGAGACACCATCGCAAAGGAAAAAGTATACATGCGAGATGAGCGGCCTCCCCTCCCCTGCTGCTACATAAGTGGCCTACTCTTCTTCCTCCCCGAGAAGCCCACCCACCATCCTCCACAAGGTCCGTCTCTGTCCTCCTCCTCTTCAACCACTCTTGAAGATAGAAAGATGGAGCGCCTCAGGACCGGCTTCGACAAGTTCAAGACCGAGGTCTATGAGTAAGCTTCCACTCTCTAATCCTGCTGCTATGCTTGAGATATTTTTTTTTGGTCTTCTTCAGCTGATTATTTCTCCGGCCGGGCTGTGGCAGCAAGAAGCCGGATCTCTTCGAGCCCCTCAAGGACAACCAGGAACCCACGGTATGTACTGCGCCCCCCTACATTTCTCTTTACGGTTACCTAGCTACCAACTCTGGTTACTTCTTCTGCGATTGGTTGATTAGCTTGTTGAGTTGGTCGGGAAGCATGGCCACCAATAGTGTGTTCGCTCTAGATTTGGTGATTCTCTCTTACTGTTATTTCCCCTACCGAGCAGTACTTGCGCAGTTGTACTGGTAGTAGAACAATGTTGCTT